ATATAAGGAGTTGGGGTGGGTTCATAGGCCCTGTCTTGGTTTCTCGCTTCGATGACTTTTAAAGTGCTGCTGCTGAGTTTCTGAGCGTGTTCTTCCCATTCTCATGATGAGAGCTATAGGTCCAGTACAAGCTGCGTGATGGCAGAGGAGATAATAGTGCAGCTTAAAACCTTAGCTCCCCAGAACCTGTTCTGAGCTTTGTGTGTGTGTCAGGAGGACGAGGTGAGACAGTGGATGTTGTATCCTGGGGACTGCAGTTCTCACTGTGGTCACTAGATGGTACAAGAATCATTGGATTCTAAATTGGCAAGACAATAACGGGTGTGGGGCCAAAAGATCTGGTTACTTCTGGCCAGGGCTGGGTTTTGGGGGCAAGGGAATTATAGAGTGACTCTATTTGGGATGAGGGAGAGTCTGTTTCAGAGGGGTAGGGGCATCTTATCCTTGCAAGGCGCCATTTAAAGCATGACTCTGCTCTGAAAAGCAAGTGTAAAATTACCCTGTAGGGTTCCGTGTTTGTTGTCTTCAGATCAGACTATCTCAATTTACAAATGAAAATGTAATTAGCTCCCTGCAGACAATCCTGTTGCTGATGCACGAGCCAGAGTAAATTCCAGCTCACTCTCCCAGAGATGTCGTGGCTCTACAGGACTAAGAAGAACTAAAAACGTTTTTCCCAAACGTTAGCAGATATGACTCCTGATGCATTTATCGGGGAGGAGGGGGGAGAGCAGCTCTCTTTTTTTTTTTCTCTGAGAAAAGCAGGTTCTTCTTCTACACTTTCACTATTTGATCTGTCACATTAAACAAATATCTCATCTGAAGGGGCAGGACAAGTCTGGTTTTTAGAGGGAGAATAAGAACAGAGGAATTGCATCGGAACCTAGGGGTGGAATAGGAACATAAGAATTGCATCGGGAACTACAATAGACCCTAGGTCAGGGGTAGTTAATTATTTTTTTGTCAAGGTATAATCAAGGTCCAGATTCCAGAGAAACATTTTTCACACCACAGTAAAATGATGAGGATGATAAGTAAATAAAAAGATTTTTGCAGTCTGTTCAAAAGCATCTGATGGGCTGGATTTGGCCCATGGTCCGCGTATTGATTAAATAAATTAAATAAAATAAATTTTAAATTATGGAGATATACCTATCTCATAGAACTGGAAGGGACCCCGAAGGGTCATCAAGTCCAGCCCCCTGCCTTCACTAGCAGGACCAAGTACTGATTTTTGCCCCAGATCCCTAAGTGGCCCCCTCAAGGATTGAGCTCACTACCCTGGGTTTAGCAGGCTAATGCTCAAACCACTGAGCTATCCCTTACCCTTGCCCTAGGTCTATCTAGCCCAGTATCCTGTCTATGACAGTGACCAGCACCAGATGTTTCAGAGGAAGGAGTAGGGACCCCGCAGCAGGCATGTGTGAGATAATCTCCTCTTTCCCCTCCCCTCCCCCCCTCCCCGCCCTGACACACACACTAGGCTAAAATCTTAAAACATGAGGTTTAACATCCCTTCCAAAATTTGCATTGTCATTAATTATGATCACTCCAGATATTCTTGATCTCCATGCAGACAACCCAGGGGATTACAGACCAGTCAGTTTAACTTCAGTAGCTGGAAAGATAATTAAGCAATCAGTTTGTATATACCTAGAAGATAATACGGTGATAAGTAACAGTCAGCGTGGATTTATCAAGAACAAACCTAGTAGCTTTCTTTGATAGGGTAATGAGCCTTGTGGATAGCTGGGAAGTGGTAGATGTAGTATATCTTGATTTTAATAAGGCTTTCGATACTGTCTCACATGACCTTTTCATAAACAAATGAGGGAAATACAACCTAGATAGAGCTGCTATAAGGGGGTGCATAACGATTGGACAACCGTTCCCAGAGAGTAGTTATCAGTGGTTCACAGTCAAGCTGGAAGGGCATATCAAGTGGGGTCCCGCAGGGATTGGTCCTGGGTCCAGTTCTGTTCAATATCTTCATCAATGATTTAGATAATGGCATGGAGAATACACTTATAAAGTTTGCAGACGTTACCAAGCTGGGAGGGGTTGTAAGTGCTTTGGAGAATAGGATTAAAATTCAAAATGATCTGGACAAACTGGAGAAATGGTCTGAAGTAAATAAGATGAAATTCAATAAGGACAAATGCAAAGTACTCCATTTGGAAGGAACAATCAGTTGCACGCATACAAAATGGGAAATGACTACCTAGGAAGAAGTACTGTGGAAAGGGATCTGGGGGCATAGTGGATCACAAGCTAAATATGAGTCAACAGTGAAACACTGTTGCAAAAAAAGCAAACATTCTGGGTTGTATTACCAGGAGTGTTGCAAGCAAGACACGAGAAGTAATTCTTCCGCTCTGCTGTGCTCTCAGTAGGCCTTAACTGGACTACTATGTGCAGTTCTGGGGGCCACATTTCAGGAAAGATGTGGACAAATTGGAGAAAGTCCAGAGAAGAGCAACAAAAATGAATAAAGGTCTAGAAAGCATGACCTATGAGGGAAGATTGAAAAAAAATGGGTTTGTTTAGTTTGGAGAAAACTGAGGGGGGACATTAGTTTTCAAGTACATAAAAGATTGTTACAAGGAGAAGGGAGGTAAATTGTTCTCATTAACCTCTGACGATAGGACAAGGAGCAATTAGCTTAAATTGCAGCAAGGGAGGTTTAGGTTAGACATTAGGAAAAACTTCCTGACTGTCAGGGCAGTTAAGCACTGGAGGAAATTGCCTAGGGAGGTTGTGGAATCTCTCCAGTGACAGAGCAGGTTAGACAAACAACTGTCAGAGATGATCTATACTTAGTCCTGCCTTGAGTACAGGGGAATAGACTACAAGACCTCTCGTGGTCCCTTCCACTCCTATAATTCTATGTCCAATATCTTTTTGAACCTTGAATCTGAGACTTTCCTCTCACAGTATCCATCAGACCATTACCTTCTCCATCAACCCTTCCTAAAGATCCATTTCTCCCATGACACCTACAAGAAGTTAACCAACTAATAGTCTGGATGGGACTTTGTTTGCTTGCTTTATTCCTCTCCCCTATCCTTCATCTTGTTTGTCTTCTAGATTGGGAGGGATAGCTCAGTGGTTTGAGCATTGGCTTGCTAAACCCAGGGTTGTGAGTTCAATCCTTGAGGGGGCCACTTAGAGCTCTGGGGCAAAATCAGTACTTGGTCCTGCTAGTGAAGGCAGGGGGCTGGACTCAATGATCTTTCAAGGTCCCTTCCAGTTCTGGGAGATAGGATATCTCCATTAATTTATTTAGGGGGCTGGAGCACATGATTTATGAAGAGAGGCTGAGGGAACTGGGATTGTTTAATCTGCAGAAGAGAAGAATGAGGGGGGATTTGATAGCTGATTTCAACTACCTGAAAGGGGGTTCCAAAGAGGATGGATCTGGACTGTTCTCAGTGGTACCTGATGACAGAACAAGGAGTAATGGTCTCAAGTTGCAGTGGGGGAGGTTTAGATTGGATATTAGGAAAAAC